TCAATATGCAGATTATATAAAAATATTTATCAAATGAAGTGCTTGAATAAAGAGCCAAAATAAAAATACCACATACATAAAGAATAATCATATCTATAAAAATCATTCATTTTAAACATGTTTATACAAGCTTTGCAAGCAATAACATACAAGACAGAGATGGAATATCTATACAAAAGGAAAAGATCTCTCAGATCGAATTTATATATAGAAATATTTCAATGATGTTCAGAAATTAAATAATTTCTTGAAGAGCATTATAAAAATAAAGCAGATGACAATTTGTACCAAATGCTTATAGTATATATTTCAAATTCAAATACTTTAATACATCTCAGCTAGATATACTTAGTTAACATACAAAAATTACATATTTAAGGCTATCTATTATTCAATTAAGAGTACAAAAGCAATTTAATAATTAAGAATATCAGCTAGTTCAAATGCAATGATTTTATGCTCTATAATGCCACTGCTAGCTCATACAACTCGCAAAATCTGAGGAAGAAAATCTGGAAATGTATACCATCTTTAAAAATACATTACATCTTCCTAAAAAATAGAGCTAAATTCTAGATAAATATAGATGATTATTCAAAGGAAAACTTTATATATTTCTATTAAATAATACTATCTTCACATCCAAACATTAATTTATTATATTTATTGCTGAAATTAAATAAAAACTAAGAAGGTAATTGCAAAAACATACAATGACATTTAAGTATAAAGTAACAGAATCTAAAATACACACATTACTTAAGTTACCGTACTCCATCTTAAATGCATATTTACACATAGCAACAAAATATGTGTGAAAAACCATTTTTTAATCAAAATAAAAGGGAATAATAGTTTTTAGATAAAGAAAAACAATACTGATGTACTGGATATAAGAATATTTGTTTCTGAATCTAATAATTTTTAAAAATCTTATGTGAACATTGTTTAGCTCTCTTATGTAAACACTGCTAAGCTTATAATCTATATTACAATAAAAACAAAGAAAATACATAATTTACAGGCTGGCAACTGTAGCCACAGATAGGTCACACAAGCCATTCTTTCTTAGGTGGGGAAGGGCGCCTGCGACCAGCTGCAGACTTCACTTTGCACGATAGTAAACGCCTTCGCTGTGGACGTCGTCCTGCGTTTGGTGGAACATGTTTCCCGGATAAGGTGGTGGCTTCTCCTCCTGTTGGCAAGGTGACGTGTTGAAGGTAGGCTCGGCTATGATGGGTGAGGCATGAGGGAGGATAAAAGAATTTAAAAATTTGGTTGTACTTAGGCCCCCTTTCAGAAAACTTTGTTTATTACAAATAAATAAATTAAGGAAAAAAATACAGAAACATATTGTGCAGGTAATCAAATTACAGACTGATGCAACTGCTACATGTTAATAGCAGTATTTAGTGTACCATAATTTTCTTAACAACAATATGCGAAATCATCATCAATATACACAGTACCTAATGCCCAATAAAAGATACAAGTACTGTGTGTTATTTATACTCAGTTACATTTTGATATCACAAAAGACTAATACTGGACATTTCTTCAAAGATTTGATTATTTAGAGACCACAGATGTAGAAAAACTAATAGTTAAAATTATATTTAATTACTAACCCTTTGCACTCTGGTGTCACAGGTAATACAACACTTATATACGAACTTTAAATCCATTGTTGTTGCTACAGAAAAATGCTTGTTTTGCTTACTTGAGCACTTTTGTTGTATGCTCCGTTAGACAAGAAAAAAGAAAAAGATCTGAAACTAGTGAATTCTGTGATAGTTGCTCTGGGAAATCCCAAATGCATATGGGTGATTGTTTCCAAAAATATCACACTATGATAAATTAGAAAGCATAAATTTTTCATTTTATCGAAAATTTATAAACTTGTTCTATATAATGTCACTAAGGGATAAATATTTTATTGTAGCAACTGGATTTTTTTACTTCCTTGTACGAAGTAAAAAGGAAGTATTGTAATCGCGAAAAGTTTTAGGCAGCATATTTCAACGAAAATATCCATTTTGACCGCTATCGAATGCAATTTAACGATGTTTTTGCGTGATATCTGTACGTAAGGACAGAATAAAATACTCTTTTCCATCAAAAAAATTATAAAACTGCTTTAAAATTAATTCTGAAGAGAATTTTTCGTGGCATCTGTACGAACGTACGTACGTCATGCATACGTACGTATCTCGCATAACTCAAAAACGAGTAGCCTCAGAACGTTGAAATTTTGTATATAGGACTGCTATAACATGTAGATGTGCACCTCGTATTTTGGTTGCAATTGGCCGCACCAAACGTATATAAATATATTTATATATATATCCACTCTCTTACCCGGCTCAGTGATCTCAGTTTCTTCACTCTTATATGTTTGTAAATTGTACATTTTTGGCTTTAAAAATGATTGAATTATGTTGTTTTTATCTTCCGGTTAAGGATTTTATGCCTTTAGTAAATCTGTGTGCAATAGGTTTAGAATTATCAGCAATTTTAAAGTTGTTTAATTGCAGCTAAGCCTGTTTTTAATGGCGGCCATTGATGTTTGTTTACATTTGAAACAGGAGACTTGTGGATTTGTTGCCAATCTACAGAAACTTAGCTTCACAATAACAAAGATAACGCATTCATTTATTATTGCCAATTAAATCATGCTTAATTCTTTCTGGAATTTTTTCGAGGAAATAAGCGTATGAGATTTACTTCGTAATTTTTAATATAGATATTTTGAGCTTTTATGTATTTTTGCCTTCTCGCGAAGTCAGAACTGAATTAATTAAATGAGAAATACTCAATCGTCTGTGAAAAACTATTTCTTTTTTGTTTTGTTTGCTTAATTTCTTTTATACATAGTTCTAGCTTTATTATAGTATTTGAATAGAACATGTGGCAACGATTAGATAATTCTTTAAATGATATACATTTTGTGCATTCTGAGTTATAATATGAATGAAATATAATACTGTTAAGTAATAAACCTAGCGCCAGAGTGTCGCTATGGTAAACAAAGTGAATTTTAAAGAATGCATTTATTCTATTGTGGTTTATGCGCTGTCGACGAAGTAGGTTTAATTCAATCTAATAAGTTTAAATAAAATGCAAGAAAAAATGCGTATAATTTAATATTCCGTACAAGGAAGTCATGTGGTGTACACATCAGATTTTTTATATTATATATGTACACTTGTAACTAATATTGTGTGGAGTTGTTGGTGTACTATAGAAGTCATTAATTAGAGTGGAGTGCAATGGGTTAAAATAGAAAGGAGAGCCATCACTGAATTCCAAAAATTATTTCTACATATTATTCTTCATCATAATATTCCTTCAAAGTTCTGACTCAGATTTTAAAAAGGTTAAAAAAAAAAAAAAAATAAAAATAAATTTAGTATTTTATTTTTAATATGCTCTTATAAAGCTAAATATAACAACAGAATTAAAAATGAACCACAGAATGAGGAGTACTAAGTTTCACGTAGATTGTTTCACGTTTATTGCACTATATTAAAATTTTGAAAATGATAATGATGTAACATTATGTAATAATTTTTTTAATTAAAGCTTATTAAATAATAAATTATACTAAAAGGACATATTTTTACCAACTCGGTCATTGTTTATTTTGACTGAAATATAATAACTTTAAAACAAATGTAAGACATAACATTTTAAATATATGACACATAGACATACAATCAGTTAAAAGTAATTTTGCATGCTGAAAATGCAGATGATTTTGAGTCCAAATGGTTATATACTATATGTATACAGTCAAAAGTCGTTAATCCGGACTCGTCGGGACTTCGGCGATTCCGGATTATCGATTTTTCCAGATTAAAAATCATCAGTTTAAATCTGGTAAGATGGCATGCAGAAATTATAAAATTAAAAATATGAAACCTTAATTTATGAAATAAAGAACAATTATGATCTAAAGTGTATCAAAATTTACAAAAAAAAAAAAGCTTAATATTTATTTGTTTACTTTATTAAACATTTCTTTCAATGCAAGTTGTTTAAGTTGCTTCGTTTTTTATGTGATAATACTTTCTCTTTAATTCTATAAACAGACAATTTCTTGTTCAGTTACAAAGTTCCGCTGTTCAAGTCCTATAATTGCTGTGTCGAGAATACCGACTAATTTGTCAATCGAAATTTTTTCGTTTTCAATAACATCTGTGTCACTTTCTTCGCTATTGGAAGCGAATTATAATGAGGAGGAATTTGATTTAAATCATATCAAAGACGGAGTACATCGAGATGAAATACTACATTTAGTAAGGAATTATAAGCCAAATAAAATAAAAACATCTGCCCTGAAGATAAGGATAGTGCAGACAGATCAACTTCCAATTCATTGCGCGCCGTGTTGTTGAAGTAAATCCACATTTCATCACAAGTGACGACCCAGTGCAAAATTTTGTCCTTGTGTTGATATTCAAGCAGATTATTAAAGGCCCGAACACGTCTCTCCTTTAAGTCAGCTCATGCAGCCCCAGAGATTGAACTTGCACGTCAAGTTCATGTAATACATAGTGTGACTACTGGACATGGCATTAACGATTAACTCCTTAGAAAGCTCGAGTGGCTGCACACTGATCTCCTTCCAAAAGTCCTTGCAGGTGGGTCTCATCAGTATAGCATGATAGTTCCATTTCAGACCTTTTGTTTACAAATTTCATAACACAAAGTTCTAAAGCAAGTCTCTTTCTTTTAAATGGCAAAAGTCTTTTGGTAAAATCTGATTAAACATGGCAATACAAACTGCGTGCGCAAACAATATTTGCAGTGGTGGGAAACTTTCATTAAAACCCAATACATATAAAATGACATCAAGTGATAAAGGCTACTTTTGCATTAAACAAACAGAAATAATGAAAAGCAAAAATTGAGGCAAATAATAAATATATAAAGACTGCAAATGAAAGTTTTTATTTTAAAATTAAATTTTTACAAAAGATTAGAGAATTCTGTCTTACTAGGGAACTGCTGGCCTACAACCATAGAATGTGGAGTACCAAGTTGCGCTTCAGTTTCAAGTTGTCTTTGTGCAGCTTCCTTTCGGAAAACCCATATAATCACTCCAACTACGCACACACAGCAGATCAGGAAAATTCCAAGCACAAGAGACACAAATGTTCCAAAATTCAATCCTAAGATTTGTTTAGTGGCACTTTCATCTAAACAAAAAAAAAAAAAAAAAAGAAGAAGAAGAAGTCAGAACAAAGAAGCTATTTAAAGTATATATTTTTCCTATATCTATTGGCAACATATGGAGATTTTCAAAGATAAAAATGCATACCACCACAAAGTGCCTGACTAGTTTCATCACTATTATCTCCACAATGATTTACTCCATCACAGGTTAAATTTTGGGAGATACACCACTGATTCAGACAACGGAAACTCTGACAGCCTGTATCTAAAATTGTTTAAATATTTTGTTAAATCTCATTTTAATGCAACATTACAGACATGTTTCATAAGAAATAAAAATATTTTCATCATGCATTATTTCATCTCATATATGTTATGGTTTTTAAAATTAAAATAAGCTATATTATTATATATTAATAATTATAAGAAATTAAACAAAAGTACTCTTCCCATCAATGATATCAATGATACAAAATAAAGCTAATTTTTAATAGAATTGGATAAATTTTAATAAATTGGAATAGATACTCATAAAAATTACCTATACTTTAACTAAAGTTTTGTAATTATTAAATGGTTTATTTCATAGATCACATTTGCATAAATTTATTAAAATGAAAAACTTTTTTCAAAGATGCATTTTTGCATAAATTTATTAAAACTTCCAATGAAAAACCTCTCTTCAAATTATTTGCTTTATTTCCTTATACATTTTTTTAATTTATTTTATCAAATATTTTTTACTTCCAGTGGCATGCGGTAGGTTTTCATGCAGGGTGTGCAGAGAGCAACAACAATAATAATAAAACCATAAAAATGTACATTAAACACTTCTTTAACTTTTTATTATTAATTTGTATGCAAAATTCATATGTCTATCCATATTACTAACAAAATCATCAATTACATGATCATAAAACTCTGGTTTTGACTGTAATAAGTGTAATATTTCTTTTTCTATTGTTATTAGAGATAAATTGCTTAATCTATACTGGCTCACTGTATTGCGTGCATAATTTTTTACTCTTTTCAATCTGAAAATTATCTCTCCACCGAAGCAGATAAGAATGGAATTGTACAAATTAAATGTGCCAATTTATTTACTTAACTTAGGGCATCTGTCAAATCATTCAGCATTATATATTGAAAAGTTTCGATAAATTCCTTTCGTGGTATGACTCAAAATCTAAATGTTTTACATAAGCATTCTTTAACGTATTAAGGCATTCATCCGGAAATTTAATTTGATATTTCTTAAAAAACTGAAATTCAATTGTTCAAAAAATTTGAGCAAATTTAATTTTTTAAAACGGACATCTAACTGACAATAAATAGTGTCCATTATTTTATAATATAAATTTTTAAAATGTTGGTCTTTGTCTACACTTGAGTTTTGTAAATTTACATGACATTTTTTTAAATTTGGGAGACCCACTACAGAAATAGTCTCTTCATAAACTTCATCAAATGCAACAGAAGTTTGCATATTTTGAATTGCATCTTTTACTTTCTCTACTTTTTGACTAGAATATGCTATATCTAAGTTAGTTTTTTGTAAAATATCAAATAGAACATCAGTATAACTAAACACTTTGGCAAAAACATTTAGGAGAAAATTACCGTTAAATTCTTCAAAAAACATGTGATAACTCATTGCAATATTAATTGTATTGTTATCCCAGCTTTCTGGATTCTCAATATTTTCAAATAAATCAGATGGGCCTTGCCTTTCACTTTTTATGGTATTTACCAAATGAGATGAATAGTTCCAACGTGTTGTAGCTAATTTTGGAAATTTTCTTTTAATAATTTCATTTAAAACATAATTTATTTTTGTAGACACAAAAATGAGGCTATGCCAGAAATTGTTGCAAAAAATAATTTACAATCTTTTATAAACAATATAGATTGCAACAGAACTAAATTAAGTACATGTGCGCAACAATGCACAAACATAGCTTCTGGAAAATGTCTTTTACTTTTTTCTGCGTCCCATTCAACGCTCCTGCCATGACTGCCGCCCAATCGCACGTTTGAGCAAACAGTTTATTCTCACACCCCCAACTCAAAATCAAACGTAGTACCACACAGCGCCCGCCGCTGTGGTGCCTCATCATCAGCCTGATGACATCAGGATGCTCATTGGTGCCGACAGACCGAACATCTATTCCACATGCAGTGGATTTAACTGCACGCTGGCACATTAGAACGAACTGTTTCTTGTTCGGTCAGTGGATTAAATTATATTTATTAATTGTTTTTAACATTTAGAAATCATATATTCTGCGAAAAACATCTTGACAATTTTTAAAAACAAAACCAGGGATATAGTGTTAGACAGATAATAACTTATATACTGTCTGTAAGACACAATGAATAGCAAAATTTGGACTGTTCTGTTAAAATTCGTTTCTTTTTTTGTCTAACAAAACAAAATTGTTTTTCAGCGAATTATTTATATAAATATAATACATCACTGAAATTATTTTACCACACTGAAACATTTCCCTTTATATTGATGAAATACTTCTTTTATATTTCCATAAAAACAAATCTTACAATATATAAATTTAAACATTAATCGTCTGCAAAATCGTATGGCCAGTTAATCAGTTCAAAAACCAAAAGCGCTTCAACACGTAAGTCCTCGCTCTAATACAACTCTTAATGAATCGTACCTTCGGATGATTCTGAATGCCAAGTGCAGGAAAAATAGCTGCACTTGCCTCAGTGCTACAGTATGCTGTGCTTCTCCAGTAGCCCATACATATAAAGCATGATTTTCTATTAGTGCACAGTGCGTATACATCAAAACTTCCTATGTTTGCTTTTGAATGCGCTACGTGGTGCAGCACCTAGAACCGCATGCACTGCGGGAATACTAGCAAGCAAATTAACATAATATTTGAATATATTATAATATTTATTATATACCATATAAAGAAAGGTGCAGAAAATTATTGTCTCTCATAATTTTGCCAGGGTGTGCAGTGTGCCGCACGCCACTGTTTACTTCCTCCATACAATTTGTAATGCTGTGAGCAAAATATTCTTACTTTTCACACCTGACTGCAACTGACTCCGACATAGCAATGTATACTCAACATCTACAAATTTAAATACCATTCCAGAATTTTTGAGAATATATTTAATAAAATTCTAATCATATTTATATTTGCAACCACAATAACATAAAATTTCACTTATCTGAACAACGAGAATAAACCTACCATAATTTTTCTAAACTTGAGAAAACTTCTGTAATTTAAATACCGCAAATTTAAACATAGGAGTCCTCATCTTCTCAAACGCAGCCAATTTGATAAATATCACTAATATCTGCAGCGAATTCCATTCCATGCACACCCAAACTCAGTTTCGTAACACAATCGTTTCGTCAGAAGAATTGGCTGAATTCCAAACAAAATGTGTGGAATATTATCTGGTTATGCACAAATTTCAAGCCATGCACATGCATTCAAGCCATGCACAAATTTCTACTACAGTTGGTGCCAAACTTATTCTCGATATATGTGAGAGGCACAACACAAGTTTTAGGTTGTTCATTCAAACACGAGTTCCCTTTAAAAAAGGGGAAAAGCATTCTCCATTTTTTACTATAAAATGAAATTCTGTGCAACAGAACTCTGCTGTAAAGGAAAATTATTATATAAGAGAAGAATCATTATGGTCTACTTACCATTATACAGTTTTATGGCATATTAAAGAAATAAATGGAAAGAAAAGAAAATTTCAAAACATAAAGCTTGGTATCTACATATACCAAGCTTTTATGTTTCAAAATTTTCTTTACAGTCTTTAATACCAATATACTAAAAAAGTCCTTAGATCAATATTCTAAAATTATATGCATGATTAAAATACTAAATAAATAACTGATTTAAAATGTCATACTTGGTCTCTTGACTGAAGTTATAATTAATTTAAAACCATTTCGAGCAAGATTCTTATTATCTGTAATGTATTTGAGCGTGACATAATTGCCATTGGTAAGAATGGTCCCAACATCTGTAAGCGTACTCCGGCAGGAAAGATCAGCCTAAAAGTAAAAATGCTTACATGTAGTACACCTCAAATAAAATATACTTCTTTGAACACATATAATTTTTAAAAAAATTTATTTCACCTTTTTTTGCTATCCACACTCCCATTTTAACATTAGATTACTTCTTGCAAAAACCCGATGGTGCAGTGGCTAGCGCACCACAGGTCCGGAGTTTGATTCTCCGGAGTTTGATTCCCGGGCTGGGAAAGGTCGACTCAGCCTTTCATCTCTTGATTTCCATCTCTTGGGTCGATAAAATGAGTACCAAGTTCGCTTGGAGACTAAACACCGGGGGTCCTGAGACAAGCTGACCACTTGTTCAGGGCATATGCTTACGCAACCCGGGGCCCATGGTCAAGAAAGCAGATTTCGGGCACTGCAGGCATTGTCTCATTAGATCTGTTACGCCACTGAGTTATTTTTTTCAAAGATGTATTCTTTTGGTAAATCATGTTCAAAAACTTATACATGAAAGACATTTAAACATTTTATGATAATAATTATGAAAAATGATTTATTTATTTAGTGCCTGAAATTTAATAAATCAAATACTGCATTTACTGAATGTGTATAATTCATTAAGGATGATGATAATTTACACAACTGATATTTGAAATTATATTTTATTAAGTGAATTGTGTAAGTATTAACACCATGAAGAAGGTTACACCTGAACAGCATCCACCAGATGCAAAAATGTAAGACTGGCCATACATATTTTTTTCATAAATTTTCTATTTCTTATAAAATGCATCTTTATACTATTATTTATGGACGCAATGGTACCAATGAGCTTTAGAGATAGCCAAGCAACTGTTTTTTCAGCAATTCACAAAGTCACCAATCAGTTGGTAACTTGTCATAGGGTTATGGATAATCAGAAAGTACCCAAGACTTAAATAAGAGCCATTATACAGATTACACTCAAAACCTTTTAAGACATCTACATTAAATTATGTTTTTAAATATTAAACTGAAATTAGGAAGAAATTAGTCAAATAAAGGGATTAAATTTAAAAGAAATTTATTGGACAACATGCCATTTGAAATACAGATATTCAAGTTTTGCCATTAAAAAAAAAAAAAAAAAAAAAAAAAAAAGATTCCTCAAAACTGAAACTGCTTTTTATACACTGTCTTTTTCATGTTTACTTCAGTTAAGTTCTATTTGAATAATCTGCTTTAAAAAAGGGAATACCTTTCCAGAAGACTTTCTATGTGAAGTTTTGACCAATGCCACATCAAGTGAACAAGTATTATCATGTAGAAGAATAATTTTGTTGTGTCTCGAGCAGTAACGGGTGCATTTTTCTTTGAGTGGCTATTCAATTTCATCAATGTGTGCTTCGTAGAAAGCCTCAGTAATGGTTTCTTTGGGTCTGAGCAACTCATTACATGGCACAAAGCTGATCCCACCAATTACACATGATTTTTTTTTCCCATGATTCCTTCCTTTTTAAGGTATCATAGTTGATCCATGTTTCCATCACCAATGACTATACAATAGAAAAAACCCTTTGGTTTGTGCCCACAGTAGCACTTCACTTGCAAAAAAATTGGCATTCAAAGTTTCTTGGCTTCAGTTCATATAGAACCTAATTTCCTTGAATTTGAATAATTCTCAATGATTTTAAACAAAATAAAATTACTTTTCGAGTCACTCCTAATGTAACTGCAAGTTCTACTCATGCTTGGTACGAAACATCATCCAATAATGCTTCTAATTCTGTATCCCTGTACACTTTCTTCCTTCTGCTCCGTTCTTCATCATCAAATTAACCTTTCTTAAGCTTGAAACCTCTCATGACAACTTCTCTCACTTAAGACAGCCTTACTATATGTTTCGACAAGCAGTCAATGCAGCTCAGCCGCATATTTCCTCGAATTAAGGAAGGAAATCAAAAGTTCCTGCAAATGCAGCTCATTTGGCTCAAAATTCGACATTTTCATACAAAAAATACATGATGCTGATACAAAATCAGTAATATTTCAAGGTTATGCTTTTAACAGATGTCTAACCTTAGGATATGATGTTTTACATTCGACAATTTTAACGATAATTTAATGGTGGTGCCTTTTTTTTAAACAGCAGAAACTTATAAAATCAATTACTGGTTTCAAAAATCCTATTTTTTAATAAAGACTATATGCAAATATATGCATAAATAAACAAAAATATATACACAAATACATGCATATTTAGACATGAAGGGAGACAGAAACTATGTAATATAACATTTAATTACCAATTTTTGGGGGTCTGAATTGGTGGAAAGTTAAAATTTTTTTATGTTATTTTAGGGCTAAAGAAATGCAGGAATAGATCATTACATTTGTGTTTTAAATGAAAACTACTGTTATTAACCCACGAGAAAGCGCGCGCTGGGTATGCCATACCCGAAAGAAATTAACACATTTTAAATTGGATTAATGATATAAATACGAGTATAAATGTGGATTAACGTAAAAAACGGTGAACTTTAGAATATTTTCAATAATAAATGAAGTGCTTAGTTTACAATTATTTTACACATCTCTGGCAGATTGAACGCATATGCTCCACACAAATACTGATATTACATTTCTCGCACAGAAACCGTGTCTTTCTGCCCTTGTTTTTACGGCACTCAGCGCATCTTCTATAAATGTTTTCCATCTTTTTAGATGGTCATTTCATATTGAATCTCCAGAAATTATTTTTTCTTTTAGTTTCAAGGGAGCATGATTTGCTGCCGCCGTTGATATGAGTAATCTTCCACTAACTTATATATTATTATAATATTTTTAGAACTAGTCCTAACATTCCTTCGGAATTTGTTTTTCGTCCATATCAAGCCATTTTTACCAACATAATTTTCATTATTTGATTGATTTTCTGATTCACTATCTAATTCAGTGTCTGTATCGGTCTGTTGATGAATTATGATTGATTACTGTTGCATTTTCATCTATTAATTCTTCCTCCTCTTCGCTAAACGATTCATCATCTGTTGAAATGATTTCTAGCATACTCTTCAACCTTTCCATTTCTTTATTATAGCTTTGATGCCTCCCCATGCTGACTACCTAAGAAAGTGAAGGTGAAAATTTGAGAAACGAAAGAAGGCGCGCGGGTGTTACATACCCAAACGGTACAATTCCTAGAAAAATATTCAAAGAATCCCTCCCCGGACATCCTAGCTTCAAGAATGTGACCTTGAATTCAGTTACAAAAGGTTTCGCCCATTTCCAGGAAAGGGGTTTGAAGATAAGGGTCAAAGAATATGCCCCCGGGTATAAGATACCCGGAGCACATACTTGCGGGTTAAAAAAATAATTCAGATATTATAAATGTAGTCATTGGCTTCTTACATTTACCGATATCCCAAACTGGCAACTGCAACAGCTAGATACTTCTCCAAGCTGTGCGAAGAAACTGAGACGTAGATGAGCGTTGGGACACTGCGACGAAAGCATGGATGACAGAATTTGAAGTGCGAAACTGAAAGAACTGATAATGAGATGATACTCTGTTGTTATGATGCCACAGACTGAATTTCTCATCTTAGTTCCATCTTACTTCTTTTCATTTTGTACATATTATCCTCATGTTAATTGTTTTGTTAATAAAAGTCATATAAAATGCCACTACTTCCACGTCATTTAGCCAAACCTTATCTTACATAAATGCAAAAGATGACTCAATGTTCACAAACTCCAACAGTGATCTTACCATCTTCAAAATCCATAACAGTTGCTTTTACCACTCATCCAACTTGTTATATTCTCTTTTACCCAGAAATTTTCATCTCTACTCAATATCTCAGAACATTATAATAATGGCATTCTTCTCTTAATTTCGGTACGAGTTCCAAGATATTTAAATATGACTTTTTATGACATTATTCAATTTATGGGTTCCAGGTTTCTACATGATTTGTTGTTCTATGTCTTTCGCATAGGAATTCCAAATGGCTTCCATATACTCATTATCTAATCACTGATGAACTGTACATTCATTAAATTTCTTAATTTGGTCAGATGTAAGAGAATCCTCCATTATTTTCAGCCAATTCTTATCAATGCTTTGTGGAGATAAGTGGGTTAGAGAAGCACATATATGAATATGAATTTTTACACTCATTTCTTTGTACTGAGCACTCAGACCTATATTGCCATATTTGGCTGATGGCCATAATTCTGATCAAGGCATGTTATTTGTATTGGGGTGACAGTTCTTTGAGTACTTAGGAGGTAAAGTAGATATTTGAAAAAATGATTGTTAATTGGTGAAAGAAAGAAAAAAAATTATTGTTGCTGACAGCTAAATTCCTTCCGTTCACTAAACTCAATTGTGCTTTCTTTGTATCCACTTTTCTTTCTTTTGCAAGCCTCGCAACTATTTTCTTCTTCACTGCTACATGATTCACTAAAAATTACTCTTTCACTTTCCTTTTAGACGTGGCAAAAAGTTGGGAAAACAATTTTCACCACTTTTCACTACAGGAAAAAAAAAAAAAAAAAAAAACTGGAAAAGAAGAAATAATTTTTGACCTTAGATACATCATCCTTGAAATAAAAAAAAATATATATATCTCGAAAAAGAGAAATAATTTTTGAATAGCACTCCTTCTTAGTTACTTCGTACTTGAGGAAAGATTCTAAATTGAATTTGTATCCCAAAAATCTTTTGCTCTAGATGTTCTAAACTCTTATGATCACAAACAAATGATGAATGACATAGCAGTGCTCATAGCCTAAAGAAAATTTTCTTACAAACTTGTGTGGCAGTGAATATGTTAATTAAAGTGTTTGGAAACACATTTAAAGTTTTTAAGACAACTTCAAAATTAATTTTCCAAGGTTCTGTCTCCCTAAAAGTTATTCTTTGCTTTAAAGCCAAAAACACTTTTTTATAAGTCAATCGAGTTTTATCAGGCAGAAGAGCATATACAGAAGGATACCCTGCTGTTTTCATCAGCAGTGATCCTGCAATCAGTATGAATACTAGTTTAAAATGATGGCAACAAAATTTAAAAGTTCAATCAGCAAAGTAATATTTACTAGCTAGACACTGTAATCCATTATTTGTTGCAAATAACAATATTCTGTTTATTTCTCCCTCATCACTAATAAAGAAATGTTCCATATTGCTACTCAGTAAAACCAGACTTTCTCTAATTTCTGACACAGCTGAGAATCTTAAAACTTTAGTGCCATTTTCTGTAGAAAGATAAATTCAGAGATCTGCAATAAGGCATTTCTGTTACGAAGTCTAATCTGGAATTCATAGCTCTGGAAAACAACTCCTTATAAATTTTTGATACAGGAGTTAATTCTGCTCCATTTCTTGCATAAATCGATGCATTTAAAACTTCCACTTCAGAAATATGCTGGGGACACTAATGTTCACAAAACTCCTATAAATTGGCATTTTTCATCGCGTAGCAAACTGTCAAAACAATTTGAAATACTTACATATTATCCCAACAACCATAAAACTGTTGTCCAGCAGTGTGATGTAGCATCAGTTATAGAAAGTGTGATGTAACAACACACTTATTATATCCCGGCTTTCATTTGATGTAACCCCAATTGATTCTCAAAGCCACTTTTTGTTTTATTAGACAAGGATATAAATTAACTGTTATTCTGTATTTTTCTTGGATTTTGGATGGGGAGAAACTATTAAAATTTGGAACCTGCTTTCTAGAGAATAGGAAACAAGGAATTATTTTCAGATTTATGGGATCCTACCATCAAATAAGTGTGTATTAATGGACATAATGTGATCAGCTGAATGTGGCTGACAAAATAATTAATACACTGGTACAAGTACCTGCAAAAAGTTTGTACTTATAGCATGCTACACACAATTTTCAGTACAATGAGAGGGCCCAGGAAAAATCAACAAAGACCTTTTTACAAAGCGAAAAATTAAGCCATTTTCTAGTCTTTCTTGTCAGCCAGTAGTCAGTCGACTACTGACTGTTTATTTAATAAAGAAGTATCAGTTCCTTCAGAATTCCACAGAAATAATTAGTGCAACTTTGACGAGATATCAGCACACTTTTATGGCTGACAGAACACATACATACCCAAATTGATTGAAAACTAATTTGATTATTCTGCTTGATGAATTTACATTTATGAAATCATTAGTGTTTCATTAATTTCAAATAAATTTTATTATTTTCAACTACAAACTATAAACAAGATAATATTAGATGTGTATATTTTACGCATATATGTATATATAAGAATCACATCGCATATAAAAATAGTCACATGTAATGTGTTAACAGTGCATTAATGCATGTGTGAAATTAATATCAGATGAAGTAATATGAAAATTAATTATTTTCAGTACAGTTCTAGAGTCTCCTTGTATTTAGAGATAAAAGAGAGACAGAGGAGGAAATATTCATGATAATGGTTTGGAGGTTTAGTTGATAAGTACTAAAATAATTTTAAGAAAAATATTCATATAAAAGATGATAATAAATTACCTCAGGCTTCTATATGAGAATTTATGTTAAGATTTTCCAAATCTCACAGCTAAGATGGTTTACACAACATTAGATGCAAATTAAATGCATAGTACAAAGTAGATTTCTAATCAATTTCAAGTAGTAATATCAACAGTAGAAAAGCTAAAAATGAAAAACAACAACAATAATAAATAAATAAATGAATGAAAAATTAAAAAAAATGGCATTTGCAACATTATCCCACCAGTAGAATACTAACATAGAGCTCAGCAATCAGATTTTAAAAAAATTAAGAGTTGTCAGAAGAACAATATTGGATTCAAATTATTATCTGCACTTAAAAACACAAGAAAGTAGAATATATTATAAATTATATCAAGATGAATGCAATTTATTCATCTTAATTATATGTAGCGTATTCGGAAACTAAGTACCGTTTCATTCTAGCGTCGTCGCAGCACTGTGGTAGGCGTCCCATGCATGCGCACTAGTCTTTCTTGTTCACTGACTTTCAATTGTCACCATTTTGGTTGCTCTATGTTGTGTTTTCAGTTTGCTGTGCACATTCAAAATGTTTAAGACAATTAGTTCTCCCGCTGACTGTGAGATTCGTGCCGTGATTAAATTTTTGAACGCGAGGAATGTTAAACCGGCCGAAATTTATCGTCAAGCGACAGAAGTTTACGGTGAATACGCGATAAGTGATGGAATGGTGATAAAGTGGGTAAGAATATTTAATGCAGGTCGAACAAACGTCCATGCCGAGGCTCGGAGTGGTCGGCCTTCTGTTGTCACCGATGATTTGGTAAGGAAAGTTGATGAAGCAATTCATGAGAACAGACGCTTCACAATGACAACTCTTTCAGAGGCATTTCCACAAATTTCACGTACTGTTTTGTTCGAAATTGTGTCTGACCGCTTGAATTATCACAAACTGTGTTCCCGATGGGTTCCAAGAATGCTCACTGATGTTCACAAAACAAAGCAACTTGGTAGTACCCTGACATTTCTCACGCGGTACAGTGATGAGGGAGAAAACTTTTTAAACCAAATTCTGACGGGTGATGAAACTTGGGTGTGTCATTTCACACCAGAATCGAAACAACAATCGATGGAGTGGAGACACACTCATTCTCTGAAAAAACAAAAGTTCAAAGCGACAATGTCATCACAAAAAATCATGTGCACTGTCTTATGGGATAGGAAAGGCGTTTTGCTTACTGAATTTCTTCCCAGAGGTGAAACCATTAATGTGGCACAATATTGTGAGACTTTAACAAAACTAAGGCATGCCATTCAAAACAAACGAAGAGGAATGCTCAGTAAAGGAATTGTGTTGCTCCATGACAATGCTCGGCCCTATACTGCTGGTGTCACTCAATCGTTAAGTCGACAGTTTCATTGGGAGCAGTTCGATCACCAGCCGTACAGCCCGGACTTGCCGCCGTCCGACTATCACTTGTTCCTGCACATGAAGCGCGAGCTTGGTGGCAAGCACTTTGGATCCGATGATGACACGAAAAATGCTGTGAAGTCGTGGTTATCGAAACTGGCGGGAAGTTTCTTTGACGATGGTATACAAAAACTGGTCACCCGCTATGACAAGTGTTTGATCATTGGCGGAAACTATGTTGAAAAATAGTTTAAGACATGTATTTTCATGTAAAAATAAAATTGGATTCGAAAAAATTGTGTTACTATTTTTTTTTTTCCAAAACGGTACTTAGTTTCCGAATACGCCTCGCACATTGTGTCCCGTAAATGTTGCGGACAAACTCTTGGCAGAGGTAGAGTATATCGTAAGAATCGCGTAGGAACCCCTGCCCCTTCAGAATTGCATAGGAAAACCTGTCCAGAAACGCCATTGTACGCCGCCAGAGGGTGGGTGTGTACAAGAGAGTGTTAGTGGAAAGTGAGGATTGCCTCATTCGAGTGGCAGGCACCATACGAAGAGCATGGAACGCTATACGAACAGAAAGCTTGTGAACATGTGGTTCCAACATGATGGGGCACCTACTCATTTTGAATTGGATGTCAGTAGCCATTTGAACAGATCAGTCACACATCGATGGATTGGGCATGGTGGACCGGTTCCCTGAGCCTCACACTCACTAGATTTATCAAGCCTTGATTTCTTTTTGTGGGGAGTCATCAAAAGTGTCGTCTATCATGAATCCGGTTGTGTCTAAAATGGATCTCTGGCAAGCCTCGCCTGCACAGCTGCTTGAATCAAAGAAACTCCCAGTGTGTTTGAACATGTCTGGCAACTGTGACCTTCAAGCTGTCGTATACCATTTGTATTCATGTCCAATAAATGTTTCAAATTAATCTCTTATTTCCTTTCCTATCTTCTACCTCTGCTACCACTTACCCGACATTTCCTAGCATGAGTTCCTATGCAATTCTTAATCCCTATGATGCACCCTACCTCCACCCAGAAGTTCATCGCGATATTTTCGGGACACCCTGTACTGATGTTGTCCTATACAAATTCTTCCCATAATACTATATATACATATAGGGCTGTTAGAAAACCTTTTCATTACACAGCAAATGATGGAAAAATAGACAATGTACAGAATTATTTATGCTAAATTTTTATTCAATATTTAAACTGATGGGATAACACAGATATACCAAAAAGATAATGAAAAATAATAAAATAAGAGATAAAATAAGCATAATAAAAGTCATTTACATAATCCTAAATTATAAAACATAATCCAAAGAAAAAATTATCAAAATGAACTCTAAAAAATAGAAAAGGAACAATAAAAGTCACACAGAATTAAAAATTATAAAAGATAATCCATAAACAAAAATAATTAGCACTCTTCTAAAATACCTTATGATTTCCATATGCATGAGCTCCATCATAGATGAACAAATGATCATTACAATCAAGAGCAAGGTGCTCAAAACGAAGCATAAACATCTGCAGTATTGTATCTGTTTGAAATGTAACAACACATTTTGTATCAGTTTCATTTGCTGAGATAACCATGGCTCCATCAACTTTTCTATAATTTGGTTCATTTTCATGCAGGCATAGAGCAGACATTTTATCTAAAGCAAAAACAATTTCATAAAAATATATTAGCTAAAATTTCTATTTCTAAAAAGTCATTTCCTTATTTTATAAAAATATAATTACTGAAATTTCTCACTTGGTTGCTTACACATAAGAAACACATAATTAAAATAAAGAAATATTATCACAATAGAATTTCTATTATCCAAGCTCTGATTAACTGATATTTATTTCTTATTATGGAACAAAAACCTGGAAGTATAACAACACTAATTTTCCTATGACTTTTGTAACAGCTTTTACATGAAACATCAAACGTGTGAAAAATTTCTGCAAATGTCTCATAAAAATATTATTTAAGAAAGGTCTCAAAAGCAAATTCAAATGTTATTTTTCATAAATAATTTGGCAATTTTTTGCAGGAAAGCGTAGAATCAGAAAATACTGTCATTTCTACATACTACTGGCTTAGTAATACAGTACAAAGTCCAGACTCATCAGGACTTTGACGATTCCGGATATTAGATCATCAGTTTAAATCTAGTAAGATGGCATGTAGAAATTATAAAATTAAAAATATGAAATAGTAATTTATGAAATAATGAAGTATTTATGATCTTAAGGGTATCAAAATTTACAAAAAAAAAAGCTTAATAGTTATTTGTTTACCTAATTAAACATTTCCTTCAATGTAAGTTGTTTAAGTTGCTTTGTTTTTTGTGCCAACACTTTCTCTTTAACTCTGTACAGATATAATCTCTTGTTTAGTTACACTGTTGAAGTCCTGTAACTGTGTGTCAAGAATTCCGACTAACTTGTCAATCGAAATTTTTTCGTTTTCAGTAACTTCTCCGTTACTTTCTTCACCATCAGTAGTGGTATTTTCTGCATTCCATTCATTAATTCATTGATGATTGAGAAGCATTGGCATCAAAATGAAAAACCTCTTTTATAAACATCTTCACTTATTACCGATCTTCCACATTTCTTTACAAAATCCATTAATTAGAAAATTTCACCTTCGTTCTGCGATATCCAAAAACCTTAAAAATTCATGGCTATCATCATCAAATTTAGCTATTGTTCACTATACACTGAGATAATTAAGCTTGAATTATATTAGCTTAGTTATTTATTATACTTATGTCTATTTCTTGCACATGCTTAAGGCTTACCAGAATTCTGAATAAATAAATTCCCACATATACTGAAGTCTTAATGAGGTGCTAGATATCTTACAGCGTAATTGCAGCCTCTGCGGGTCCTAAATTCTGCTATCCTGTGCTGCCTTACAAGCCCTGGTGCTGGTTCTGGGTTTATGTGAATAATAAATCAGTTATTCTTAATTCAAATAGTCCTAAATGTACTCTTTGGGTCTACGATTATCATCAACAAAATCTATTTTTAGCATACGGGAAAAAAGTTTTGTTAAATTTTCCCGCGTCAACATTTTTTAGCGCATTTAACTTAAATCTGTAATAATCGCCAAGTGTAACGTCAACATAAAAGGTTACCATACTCCTTTGTTGGAACATTCTCCAAAGTCGAACACTTTCTTGAAACTCAAGAATATTAACTATTCTAGTAACACAATATTCATGTAAAAAATTGTACCATGTAGTTTTAGATGGGTACTTAGTCCCCTAAAATTGAAAATTTAATTAAAATTTTTTTTGTAAGATAAAATTCCAAATATGTGACAAAAATCAAATCCGTGGACTGCAACCAGCCCATAGTTTACTTAAACATGTTGACATATTATTAAAACTACATGAAATATTATTTTTTATTAAATTAAATAAATATGTATTGAAAAATATTTCTACTTGTTGAAGTTATAATAAATTTGGTAAATTTAGAAAGTTTTGTTCATCTAAAGTTTGCAATCAAGTTCAAGCATCACCTCCACAGACAGAGGGGATTTTTTTATTAAATTTTCACAGGGCAACACTGTTAATTTCTTTCCAGTGGTGTTGAAGAGAGGCAGCCATTTTGTGTACATCTCCATTGAGTACATATATGAATAAAGCTTTGTTTGTACACAGGAAAGAAAAAAAGTTCCAATTCTAACCGAGTATGTTTATTGGTTGTCAACTCCATGACTTCTATAAAACCTATAAAGTGTGAACTATTGTATGTTTTTTTTAATTATGTTCAGTGTACATGCTGAAAAGACATAAAAAACTTAAACACCATTTTATATCCTTAAAACTGTGCTTTAGCTTACACTGAAAATGTGGTTTCATCATCTCCATGGGTATCCTGGGGACAGCTTTGCCCATGGAGTTGTTAGGCTTAACTATGAGATTAAATTTCTTTTATATAGTAATAAATATATTATGTCAAGTGTATACAGTCAAAAGTCTTTAATCCGGACCTCAATGCTACAAACTTTCTGCGCATTCGTCAACGCATAATGCATTAACGCATGCGCATAATACCTTTATGCATGCACATATGCGTCTACACATGCACATAATATGTTTATGCATGCACGTTTAATGTATAACGGACGGCATAAGCTAAGCTAAAATTATCTGATTATCTATTTCAGTTAATGTTGCAGATTGCGTAGTTCCTTAATCTTTTAATTGGATATGGCTTATTATTTTTTGCAGACTGTCAGAGCAATTTTATAAAAGTAAGCTTGAACTTTCGATTATGTCAAAAAGAATTTCAGATTCTGGAGCTACCAAAGGATCTACAAAGCGAAAACACGTTTTGATGTCCATCAAACAAAAAGTGGAATTGCTGCAAAAAAATGGATAAAAGCATATCCTTTCATTCTCTAATCATTCCAAAATATGTTTATCAATTTGAAGCTGCTCTGCAGAGGGGGGGACGACGTGGCGCACAATGAACTTGAAGTTGATCTGTCAGCACTATCCTTATCTTCAGGGAAGATGTTTTTTATTTTATTCGGCTTATAATTCCTTACTAAATGTAGTATTTCATCTCGATGTACTCCGCCTTTAATATGGTTTAAATCTAATTCCTCGTCATTATAAATATCACAAATAAACATCAAATAGTTTTCTGGTTGCAATTTTCTAATTTCAACTATGCGTAATGTATGCTTTACGCATGTGCGCGTTGAAAGAAATGTTTAATAAAGCAAACAAATAAATATAAAGCTTTTTTTTTTTTTTTTTTTTTTTTTTTTTTTTTTTTTTTAAATTTTGATACCCTTTAGATCATAATTGCTCTTTATTTCATAAATTACGGTTTCATATTTTTAATTTTATAATTTCTGCATGCCATCTTACCAGATTTAAACTGATGATCTACAATCCGGAATCGCCGGAGTCCCGACGAGTCCGGATTAAAGACTTTTGACTGTATTTACTGGCACCTACTTCTTAAATTTTACATATAAAATCAGTTATATTGCAATTTTTTTGTCTGATATTATATAACCATCATTATATGTTTTTTAAGCAAAAAAGATTTCCATTTCATTTTTGTGATTCCACCATAAATAAATTGACAAAAAAAATTCTAGGTTCCAAACATAGAGATAGGCCTAAACTTGGTGACAATGAATGATGTTTCAGCCAATTAAAAAAAAAAAAAAAAAACAGCTATTATAATGGACAAGGGATGTAGCTAGTTGTAGTAGGCCTAGTTGATTTTAAAGTTACATATCTAGTAAATAGTTGCTAATGCTATGAAAAATTTATAAAAAAATTAATTAGTTACCATTTTTTCAAAAAAAAAAAAAAGGCATCATTCAAATTTTTTCATAAAAAATTACGCTCAAAGAACCACCAGATAAAACTGTTTTTTATTGATAACAGTGAAATGGCCCTGAAGGAAACAATCCAATAATCAAGGATTAAGAACATAAAACTGGTTTGAAAGATCAAAAATGCTCATCCTTACAGCCATAAGATTCATCTATTTTTGGTGTCAGGGGATGACACCAATTGAATTTTGTGAACTCTAACTAAGATGAAACATATTGCGACTGTAGACTGGAATAGTTATATGCATGAGGTACATGCTGCTCAGCCTATGTTTAAAAATCGGCAGATAACTGAAGTAGAAGACAGCCTTTTCACTTGAGGAAAAAAACAATGTCGGGCATATCTTCCACCACAAACGGTTTTTAGCAGATAGTGCAGAGCATTTAAATGGTTTTTAGTCACAATTCGAGATTGATTGGTGAAACCTTTATTACATGCCGTGAAGGAAAATATTGCACAAAGAAGCATTATTTAAATAAATGTCACCGGGACACTGCTTGACTTCTCTGCAATGTTTAAAAGACAAAAAATTGTACGCCTTGCATTTTCTTTCAATTATATTTAGCGGTTTCATTTATTTATTTTTTTAAGATTGGATTGTAATAAAAAATGTATTATATTAAATTAACCTTTCACCTAAATTAAAACAATATTCTTAGAGTTATCTACCATTATGCTACCTTCCTTGTGGTAAAGGTCCCAGTAACAGAATTGTAACCCCAGTTTTAATGAAGAACACCAGAATCTGAAATCCTTCTTTCCCGACCACCAAACCACTTAACAGAAAATTTGGCTCACCGGTATATTGGGTATTTGCTGCTACTGCCGGTATTTGCTCACCAATATTTGCTGCTACTGCCACTATGCATATATAAACATTCAAACCTCCTTCAGGTTTAAAACCCAGGAACAATAAAGCAGTCAGCATCGTTAAACAGCAATGAAGGCAGAGTACATCATAAATAGAATAGATGTGAGACATCTCACTAAAAATACCAGACAAAACTGTAGCCTTAACAGATTTCAAATGATACAACATAATCAATGCCTATACTAAGCTTTTTTCTGCCCCTGTGCCAGCCCTTAACATAATTCTTGTTTAGATCAGCAATCACTGTTGAATGTCAACTCTATGAAATGGACTTGACATCTTTTCACGGATACTCTAATTACACTGTACTGTCAACAATATCTACAATTACATGTGGAAAATATCTTCCAGACAGCAAATAGCATCATTCAGTGATCAGTCATACTACATAAGCATCATTCAGGGATATTTAATTAAG